ACCCCAAGAGATAAAATTGTAGTGGAAATGGGAAAAGATATTCTTAAGACACATACTTCATAGAATTCCTCGTGGTAGACAATAGGTCTGCCTACCATGGAGTGCTAAGATGATCAGCTCTAAAGTAATTATTGGCTATCACCTTTATTCATCAACTAAGCATAAAGTTCCTTACGGATAATGGCATTGCCACTATCAAATGTAATCAAACCAAGGACAAGGAATGTTATATGAACTTCCTGTAAAAGACAACCTTCTGTGAGGTCAATAGAGTGATAGTTAATACAGAGATGATCTACTTTCCTAAAGAAGGAGAGACCTCTGACAAGGGAGAGACATCGAAATGATTGAACCCTCAAAAGAGAGTAAGCTCCCTAAAGAAGAGTAGCCCTCTGAAGATTAGTCCATGAACACTACAACTCATGAAAAGTGAAGGACCTGTAAAAAAAGGGTTCATATTGGATAAATTGGATGTCTCATTACGAAGTTGATTCACATGCAATCATTGTGGAAGAACTTGATAGCTTCAAGGTAGACTCCAAGGACCCCAGAAGCCCTCGAGGTTGGAAAGAACTTATTAAGAAAGCTAAACGTTTCCCTAAAAAATTTTTTACTCAAAAATTTGGACATCATCGCTTGGAAACATTAAGAAATAATTGGTACTGACCCGAAAAACCAATTACCACCACCTCAAAATTTACCAAAGGTTCATCTTGCGTAGGTAAAAGTGGAGGCTCCTCAAACTAGAGAGGTATGAGACACTAAAGAAAGAGGTCAACAAGTTAGTAGTCGACGAATTTATCAGAGAAGTCCACTATTCCTAATGGTTCTCCAACCCTGTTTGTATGAAGAAGTATGGTGGCAAGTGGGGTATGCATAGATTTTTCAATCTTAATCAAGCATGCACTAACGATGACTTCTCCTTACCTAGATAGACCAACTTTTAGTTAAAATGGTGGGGCACCTGCTACTCAACCTTACGGATGTCTATTCAGGCTACAACTAGATCTTCATGTGTACTAAAGATGAAGAGCACACCTTCTTATCACTAAAGAGGCCTCTACTGTTCAAGGTAATTCCATTTGGGTTGAAAAATGTCAAAGCTACCTATTAGAGACTAGTGAACAAGATGTTCTCCAAAATTATTGATAAGACTATGGATGTATATGTAGATAATATGCGAGTAAAAATTCTCAAACATAAAGACCATGTCAGGCACCTAAGAAAAACTTTTCAAATCTTGATGATGTACACGATAAGGTTAAACCCCCTTAAGTGCGCATTTAGCATTGCCTCCAAACCAAAAAGATTAACACCAGAGGCATCATCACTGTCTCCAACTACGATCATATCATCACTTTAGCTAAGATTAACACGAGATACAGCTTGTAAGCCTTCCTTTATCATACATTATCTCTTCACTTTCCAACCAAAGCTTACGTCTTAGACTTGAAAATTATTATTACGCCTCAACCTACGAGGCTTTAATCATTAGCTGTGTGACAGCCAATTAACTAGCTAACTGCTGCTCGCACTATATGTCACCGACCTATCTAGCGTAATCAAGTCCATCAAATAGAAGTAGTCAAAGTGACTATTACCTCAATCAGGGGCGTAGCCAAGAAATAATTTAGGAGTGGGCTAAAATTTAGAAATTTTAAATATTTTCACGCTACAAGAGATCGTTTAGGAGACTATGCTCATTACATTCATGACAAATGCCACCCACCCCACAAGGTACATCTCGCGCCTATGGAGCGTTATAACATAGTATTAGACACTCAATGAAATAGAAGTTTAGATTTTCATTTTAAGATGTCTCACTAGATATTCATCCATTTTCTTGTGAAATACGAAATCAATGCTCACTTTAGAAAATATAAACTGACAGAAATATGAAAAACATAGACAAATGATATATATCCAACAATAAAAAAAACTAAAAAAAAAATAGTTAAGAATTTTATCCATGTTTGATTTAGCTTCTATAATATACATATATTCTTATTACTTATAAATAAATAAGTTCTTATAAATATTTCTTATTATAAGATTAAATATATAGTAAGTTACTTATTTTGATAGTAACATCAATTTCGTGGTTAAAATAAGTAAATATCTTTCTTATGAGTATGAATAAGTTATATATGAAAATATTCGTAAAACTAAAAAAAGTAATTATTTTAAGCTTAGCCAAACATATAGTGTCTCTTACTATTAAAATAAATAATTTATTTTAGCTCTAATCAATAGAATTTTATTTATTATAAAAGTTTATATATAATTATAAGTAAAAAATGCATTAAATAAAAAACTATTTGGTAATAAACTTGTACACATTTCATTAATACCATGAAATAATATTTGGATAATTGGACTTTGGCTAGATCACAATATGAAGCTGAGCTAAACATAATTATTTGGGCTAATTTAACTATAAAATTCCTTCCTTCTTACCATGTGGGTTGGGGGCAGGGGCTGGGCTATAACCAAGTCTAGCATTCGCTAGATCCACGTTGACCTTAATTGAAGTGCTATGTAGAGGTTGAACCTCCATAGTCAAGGTGAGGTGCTTGATCTGTTGCTGTAGCCTATTACTAGAGAGATAAGACTTCAAATGCATAAATGCATTTTTTTTCCTTTTGCCTTTTCCAAGAGATCTTCTGTACAAGATACTCTTCTAAGAGATCTTTCGTACAAGATCTTTTGCGATTTATTGATGTGACCTCTTTATAGTAGGCATTTCTCAGTCAATTGTTAGTTTATTTAAATGCCCTTTGAATCTATGACTGCAAAAGCGACGCTTAGGAGATGACGCGTTAATCGTTAAAATGAGGTAACATGTTTTTTATTGGACAGTAACCACTTTATCTTTTTTACTATAAAAGCTCACACTTAAAGCCTGTTTGATTTGGATTAAAGTCTGATTTTAATTAAAGTCAAAGTTAAACAATTAATATTAATCACATCTTTTATGGATTTACAAATTTTCAACCACACATTTCAAAAACTTCTATCTCAATCTACTAAAAAAATGTAATTTTAATCCCAATCAAACACCCTTTTAGTGTTATTTTAAAGTAATACAATTTTACACTTTCAATAGTAATATTCATCAGTCTTATTGTTTTCTCTCTGCAATCCAATGACTTTACACACACTTGTGGATCACGTCTTAAGTTTATCCTAAACTTAAATGTACAAGTTGAATTATTTGATCGTATGAGTGCTTGTGACCGCCTCTACTACCATCGGAGAAAGTCACTTCTAACGACTTGTCCAAGTGTATAGGAGCCTTATGCGCGGATGTGAATGGAGTCGAGATCTGTTGACTACGTCACAAGTTAGAAATTGATATCAACATATGTATTGAATTTCTTACATGAAGAAACTCGGTATATATAGGAGAAACTTTGAACTTGCATTTATTATTTTTACTATTCGTTCATTTTCTTTTGTTAACATTTGTGTTTGTGTGTGTGTATATGTACAATAATAATATTGGAACATGTAGAGTTGTATATCAATTGCTATGAATTCATGTATCTTTGTAGTAAAAAAGTTTCAATTCATTTTTTTATAGATACATACATAATTTTGTTTTGCATTATCTCTTCATTATCTACAGGTCAAATATTTTCATCGTAACGATTCCTTTAGAAATGTCATAGTAATTATTAAATGTTCATACGTGGTTGTGAACAAGTTTGAATAGTTTCCTTTTAGCAAAATACAGTTGTTGAATTCTTATCTCATGCAAAAAAGTGAATTGTTAAAAAATGGAAAAGCAAAGATCTCAAATCCACAAAATGGTTGTCAAGTATCTCATTTGCAAATGGCTGGGTTTGAAATTTATGTGCTTCATTTTTTAAATTTTGAACATTGCTTAATGGTTCAATTTTTTTATTTTATTTTATTTTTATTTTTATGATAAACTTGCTTTGAGTTTCAAATGAAGAATACAACAAGACAAAAAATAGAAAATATGGTAGCCTATGTTTTGAGAGATTTTTAAAAATTAACTGAACATTTATATCTATCTAGTAAGAGAAATTTTTATGAGCTCAAAATCTAATAGTTGAACTATATATGCATTATAATTTACAGATTTGTTTATCAACATATATTTAGTCAAAATCTCATCAATTAAAAAAAAAAAAAATCCTCACTTTCTTTTTGCCATCCCATCTTCTTGTAAAAGAATATGTGAGTGGTGATGTCCAACAAATATTTTTCCAAGGTTGCAAGAATTGCATGCTAGTTAATTCACCGTATGGTATGTAAATATTTTGTAAAGTACTATATATGCATTATAATTTACAGATTTGTTTATCAACATATATTTAGTCAAAATCTCATCAATTAAAAAAAAAAAAAATCCTCACTTTCTTTTTGCCATCCCATCTTCTTGTAAAAGAATATGTGAGTTGTGATGTCCAACAAATATTTTTCCAAGGTTGCAAGAATTGCATGCTAGTTAATTCACCGTATGGTATGTAAATATTTTGTAAAGTAATTTCTTGGATCAAAGCTACAATTGCTGTAAGGTATTCCAATTAAATTAAAAGAAAATGGAATTTGTTGTTGAGTTAATCCACAAACATATTATGGGAGTAAATATAGGCTCATATTGACCATGTCGAACCATTATATAGCTTTCATTATCTCTCTTACTATTCCCTCTATTACTCGCTCATTTGTTTATATAAATTGATAATTTATCTTGGAAGATATATGTTTTTTGAAAAATAAATTTGGCACGAGTAATATTTTATTATTATAAAAAATAATGTAGTTCTCTGGTATTTGAAGATTTTATTTTGATTTTTACTTTTAAAAAAATCTATTTTTAAAATTTAAAAAAATAATAAACATATGATATCCGGCCTAAAGGCCAGGTAGGGCCTTAATTTTAAATAGGGCCGAACTAAGGGTACATGGACCAGACTGAGCCTGGGTTTGAAGGATCCAGACTGGGCACTGGTGTACACCCACGTAGACACACGTCAATTCGGTATGCAATACAGAAAATTCCAAACCAGAGAAGAAAGAAATCAATTTACTTCGTGACGCTTCCCTGAATGATTACAAAGGAATTCGTCATCGTCACTACCTAAAATCTCAGAAATCCATCGCTAAAATAGTGCCAGGTGATTCCTCCAAGCTTCCTTGAAATGGAAACGCTTTGTTTTCACGACGGCAACATCACTGACTTGATTAATCGTCGCGCTCTCAACGTTCACAATGTATGAAAATACTCTCAGTTTCCTTTTTCTGCGTTCAAATATAATTTGAATAGGATTAAGTAGGTGTATGGGATTCCGTTGTTTTTATTTTTTGGTGCCTAAGAATTGAGGGTTTGGTTGCTGTTTTGAATTCCGATTGATTTAGTAATATTTTCAGTTTCTTAATCTTTAACTGTTTTTGGGAAATATAATTGTTGTGATTGGAAATGGAGGAACTGAAATGAGAAAGGTTTATGAGTTCGTTGTTAAGAATTCAAGAAATTCTTGCCTTCTCAGGCATGTTAGAATCAGGAATTTATAGGATGAAAAAATTTGGTCTGATACTATAAATCTCCAGCTAGAGCAGGTTTGGAACAAGAGGCTACCTTTTTAACTTCTAAATCATTAGAGTAGGTGTATAGTCAATTTGAAAAAGTGACCACAAAGGTATATATGACAGAGAAAAATAAGTAAATGATGATTGTGTTCCTTAGAATAGTGTTGTCTGTGTTTTCTATCTCCTTTCTGGAGATGTCAGAACTCCGACATGACTTTTCCAAATGTCTTCTCAAATCCTGAGAATGGAAGGTATATGAAGTTGTGGAGCATCTCTACTTGAGCTAGACATATGTGCGGCAAGAGATATGAGAATATGGTCTTAAGTTTTTCTATCAATGGGCAGTAAATGTTTTGAGTTTGTGTTCAGTCAAATGTGAAGATCTGATTTCCACTTTCATAATTATTGTGCTTAGACGACAGTGCACTTGCTTTATACTTTTATGTGCAGGATTCAAATAGTGTTTTGCAAATGCACTCTTCACTTGTGCGAAGGCTCTCCTTGGAAAGAGAACTTGAGGTGATTATATCACTGTTATCATTATGCTTGCAATTTTTAAAAACATGCTTAGTATGTATCTCAGAATCTTTTTGATATAACCTTCACATTCTTTTGGTGCACTGAATGAGGTAAAGATTGTAGTAAAGTACGTAAATCTCCAGCACACTGCCTTAAACCATCATATGCATTTTTATTGCCCTTTTGCCTTAAACCATCATATTCTTGTTTATTGGACAATTGATATTGAGTGAGTTGATGGTTTGTGAAATCGTGTCATTGCTTGCATTTACATAAACTGACCTTTCTCCAACAAATAGAATACACCAAGGCACCACCAGTCAAGGCCTGTCACCAGTATGTGTGTGTGTGCGCGCGAATAGGTATAGTGGGCACGCACGTAGATAGACAAGGGGAGAGGATTTGCTTGGAGAATCTGTAGCTGGACACCAAAAGTCATTACGGATGTGGCATGCATCACCTATCCCATTTAGACCCATTTATTTAAATGGGTGGTTTTGTGTAGGAGACTTTTCAACACCCATCTCCATCCATTTAAAACTATTTACCCAAATTTCCATTTCTCGACATGGGTGGGTGACTGCTCATTCGTCAACTATTTACATACTATTTAGTCCTAACCCACCAGATTTCCACCTCTACAATGGGTTATGAGATTGATACCGTAACTTTTAGCTACAGAATTTACATGATTTGATGTGTGGTTTGCAGCATGGCCCTAGATATTCTTTACATAGTGAATTTTGAGGATCTTGAACAAGAATATAAATTTCTTATGGAACTATACTGATTCTGTATTAGTTTACAGATAACAGCTGTTCGCTTTTAATTACTAATCCTCAAGTCGAAGATAGTCTTTTTTTCTGTTTGGATGTAATAGGAATAAGAAATCTCTTTGAAAATAGTTTCATGGATGTTGTTTTGTGACTTCTTATAGACATGATTTACTTTCGGTCCAAAGTTTGCAGTTTTGTGTACCTTTGCAGAGTTTCAGTCAGACAGCTCTAAATGTTGATACAGATTTTTTTTATTGGTGAATATAGTCCTCTATCTATTTTTTATGCCGGTATGTGATTGTTGCTAGTTGGCATTGTCTCATGTCCACTATACACCTGCATATGCATATGGGCGAACAGTGATTGATGTATATGCAAAGCTTGCAATCTGAAGGGGTTATTCATTGTTTCGCAGGGGCATCATGGTTGCGTAAATTCAATGGCTTGGAACTCAACAGGCTCTCTCTTGATATCGGGATCTGATGATACACAGGTATGATACTGACATTAAGCGAATGGAAGACCTTGTGCCATGGTTCTATGTGTTTATGCTTCTTGATATGTGTATACTACAATGATTGATGAGCCTAACATGGAAGTTTGCGTGTCTGCTGCTGTTTTATAACATTTTTCAACCTAAACTGAGGAACACAGAAAGTTAAAAAAACAATGCAGGCTGTCATGTATAAATCATTTAGCCCCTGTTTGGTTTAGATAAAATTCAGATTTCTAGTAGATTTTGATAAAAGATGGTGGAATGTTTGGTTGAAAAGTTCTGTCCCATGAAATATGTGGTTAAATTAAGTTTTGACTTTGAATTGGATTTTTAACCACTTCTTTAGTGAAACCAAACAGGAACTTAATAATAATTCTCTTCCAGGAGCGTGTTAACCTTTAAAATCGTTATATCATTCCAGAAAAAGGACTTCTATCAATTAGATAGATTGTTGTAGAGATAGTTCTACAAAATGATTATATTGAAGACAAATAAGGAGAACATGAAATTGGTGTGACATAGGATTATGAGTGCCTAACTTTAAGCAGTAAGCTTAAAAAATATTATTTGAAGTCATATTCAATGGTCAATGTTCATTTGTGGAAGAAATATATGGTGGGTACTTTGAATTGGGTAAGGGATATTTTAAAAACTGGAGATCAGTAAGTAGAAACAAAATCCTGATATTAACAATCGCGTTAGGGAGGAGTATGACAATCAGAGGCAAAAAGGAGATGAATTAAATAGCTTAAAGCAGAAAAAACCAGCTAAAGAATGAAAACATGAATTTTTTGGAAGTATGAAATAAGAACTAAAATGTCCAAATTTCCTGGAAGCCTAACTTCTTATTCCAGCTTAGGGACTTGATTTTAATAATCAATTGTATTTAATCTACAAGTTTTCCTTTTGGCACCTGAGCCGTTTTGAGGATCATCTTTTTCCTTAGGAGCAGGTTCTGCCCTTAATATTCTTTTATGAATTGGGGCTTGATTAATTGATGTAACTGATGCATAGAGTGTATATAACTGGATTTAAGTTGGGAAATGGTCCATATTTTTTGCAGCTTAATGTTTGGTCATATACAAGCCGCAAACTTTTGCACTCCATTGAGACAGGTCATTCTACTAACATATTTTGTACAAAATTCATTCCTGAAACTTCAGATGAATTAGTTGTCTCTGGAGCAGGAGATGCTGAGGTAATGTTTGATGGCTGACTCAAAATGTACATATGAGCTGTTAACTCGGTTCACTGGTTTCTATATTTTGTGTACTTAGAGCCAGCTTCATATTTTGCAGGTCCGCCTCTTTAATTTGTCACGTCTGTATGGGAGAGGATTGGAGGAGAATGTTATTAGTCCATTTGCACTTTTTCAATGTCACACCAATAGGGTCAAAAAATTAGCTGTAAACTCTTCTCTTTGTCTTAGGAGTGGATATATCTTTTATTTCTTTGACTATTAATAATGATTTCCATTTCTATTCCGTTTTAGGTGGAAGTTGGAAACCCTAATGTGGTGTGGAGTGCCAGTGAAGATGGGACACTGAGGCAGCATGATCTCCGTGAGGGTGTTTCATGTCCTCCTGCTGGGTCCTCTCACCAAGAATGTCGTAATATTCTTGTCAGTTCTAAGTCCTCATATATTTTTGTTTTCTTCTTTTGCTTTCTTCCCCAGGCTCATTGAAATAATGAAAGGGCATGTTACTCTATGGCCTCTTAAACATTTTCATATTGTTTTGAGCATTACATGAATAAATTGTATTGAGTGGTGCTGCTGTTAGAGGATTTCAAGACTCAAATCTTACGATAGCATAGCTCAATTTTTTTATGGTTTGTCCCCAAATGTAAACCAAGAAAGAGCAAGTTGTGGGGAAAAACTCAAAACATCCAACCAAAAGGTGTCGTTTTTCTTATAGCTTGGCCAAGTTTCCCAAGTCGTGGTAAATGAATATGGCCCAGATTTCTGTTTATTTTTTCCTTTTGAATCTGGAATCAACTTTCATTTTCAGATACACGTCTCTCTTTCTCTGTTCTATAAGGCAGTATCAACCACTTTTCTTTTCACTTTATCCGTGTATATAATCACCATTTCTCCACCAACACCATTTAATAACCTCAAGCTGCAGCCATGGATTTCACATCCAACAACAGTTTGTATCAATGACCTATAAGTCACCCTATAATGGAAGATTCACTAGCTCTAACATGAAAGCTAACAGATGGCCTGGCGGTAGTCTAAGGTCATAAGTGAACATAGACCACCATTTGTTGTCATTATTTTAGTTTAAATCCAAAGAAATAAAATTAATGTAAGATGTGTTATTGGTTAATCGAATGACTTGGAGTAACAATGTGTTGGTTTGTTGATAAAATTGACTGCCATCTCCATGAAAACTAGAGAGCTATAGAGGAAGACATTGCAGTTGATGCTGAGATTGAAGCTTCAGGAAGCTATTAGGAAACTCGCCTTGTATGAAGGACTTTGATCTGAATGAACTGATTAACCCTTTTTTTCTTTGTGGACGGGATATATTAGAAAAATTGGACTTACTGCTATTACACTAATTTCCATTTATTGGGAAAGAGAGCCCCATCCATCCACATGGCCCCAACTGTTACACATTTTTTATGTAGCATGGACACTCTAACTAGGGTACCGTGTCAGACATGTGTCGATACCGACACTTTTTAGGCACTCTACAATTATCATTTTCCTTTTTTACTATAGCCATTATATATTTTTAACTCAAAATTATTAGTAAATAATAAATAAGTACTCATATGTAAAAGATTTCAACAATAAAAAAAAAATCAATAATAAGTATAAAATTAAATTTAAACTATATGAATGAAGAATTTTAAAGAATTTAATGAACCTGTCGACAACGTGTCGTGTCGGTACTTTTTTGAAAAATCATGAGTCGACGTATCTGACATGTATTGTGTCGGACACACGTGTCCGTGTCCGTGTATTATAGCACATTTTCTTTCAAGATGATTTGATTTGTCTGAGACTTAGCTTATTTTGAGCATGATCTGCAGTGGTGGCAGCTTTGGTGTTTTCTTTATATTGGTTAAACAAAAATTGAATTTTCTTCTCCTAGCTGTCTCTTTTATTTACATCAAGGCCCATTATAAAATTGTTAGTGTATACATATGTTGAAAATCTTTATAAGGAGGATTGCTTGTTAAAATGTTTTACTCCTTGATTGCAGCTTGATTTACGTTGTGGAGCTAAAAAATCATTGGCAGATCCTCCTAAGCAGTCACTCGCTCTGAAGTCTTGTGACATCAGTCCTACTAGGCCTCATTTGCTCCTTGTTGGTGGGAGGTACTCCATGATTAACTCAGTTGTACGGCAATTATTTGTTATTTCAACTAATCTCTGTGGATAATACTTGCAGTGATGCATTTGCTCGTCTGTATGATAGACGAATGCTGCCACCACTGTCATCTAGTCAGAAAATGTTGCCGCCGCCTCCTTGTGTTAACTACTTTTGCCCAATGCATCTTTCTGATTGTGTTAGTCCACAATTATCTTGCATTTGAGCACTCTGTAATTTGTTATAAAATGCATCTTAACATTTTTGCTTTTATTTATATTTTTGTTTTATATCAATTAATAGATGCATAATAATCTTCCAATTGTAAGGACATGGCCTTGATGTGTTGGATGTGGCCTTGATGTGTTGGATGTGGAACCTTTTTAAGCAAATTATGTGAGTTGAAGTGCATGTTTAACATATGTTTCCATCTGAAAGTTCTTATGCATAAAATGTGGCTTTTCCCATTTTTTCTCTCTTTTGGGAGATCTTATGCCCCTTTTAATTCTGTACATATTGCAAAAGAACAATGATAAGGGTATGAGTCTGACCTTTTCGAAAATCATTTTACCTAAAATATTTGGTTCTCTATGAGTTAGGCCAATGTACTGCCCACATGCTGGAGTTTGCAATGATTTTGAATGTTGGACCAAGCAAAATAATATTGGACAGGCTATTCTCAGAGTATCATTGACATTAGAGAGAACAAAAATCATTTTCTGTAATATCAGATCATGAGTATCGTTTTCAATCTTGATCTAGATCTTGGAAAAGAATGCTTGACCAATGAATTTATAATATGAATTTATGATCATGCTAGATTTATCAACATAGCGACAATCTGCTTGAATTATAATTTGAGATGGGTCCATTTTTCTTTTTATGCTTTGCTTCAAAAAATGCGGTATATCACCTGTCTCATATTGCCAAGTTCTCTCTCTTTTTCAACTAGACCATTCTCATTTCTGAGATGCATCAATTATGTATCTACTTGATATGCTCCACGCATGTATGCATATCTACAGATTCTGTCTCTCCCCCATGCACACGCACGAGTGCACATACACAACATCTATGTTGCTTTTAAGTGAATTTACTTTTAGAAATTGGAATTCCAATAGCAATATATTATCTCATCCTTCTTCCAGGGACATTCGAGCTTGCATCTTACTCATGTCACTTTCAGTACTAACGGAGAGGAGGTTCTTATTAGTTACAGTGGGGAGCATGTGTACCTGATGGATGTCAATCCTGGTAAGTGTTTGAATCATGAGCTCTCATAAATTGGAATCTATGAAGTATTAAGCTTTGTCTCAACACATCCCATGACTTCGAAGATCTCCAGTCTAGTGATGTTGACAATTTTGGTTGATGGATGATCTGGAGTATAAAAATATTTCCTTTGTCTCT